TCTTTCTTTCTTTCTTTCTTTCTTTCTTTCTTTCTTTCTTTCTTTCTTTCTTTCTTTCTTTCTTTCTTTCTTTCTTTCTTTCTTTCTTTCTTTCTAGAAGAACGCCTGGGAGATGTACTTGTGTGATCTGATCTGATATTATTTGAATTGAATTATGATGTGGCATGTATCTTTAACTGAATTTTACACATATAATAGACACAATATGGTTATACATCACGGGGTTCAAGTGTTTTTTTTGTTCTTCGATTGTCTGCTGTTGATATCATGGGTAAAAGGGTATCTCAATTCTCGCTCTTCTCGCTACGTAGACTACTACAAATCAAAACGAAAAAACGCTCAAGGCAGGAGTTTACTCTCGTCCTCCGACTTCTCGCGCTGTTTCTGGAGGCTGACGGGGATCTTCCCAGAGTACCCTATATCGCCCTGGGCCTTCTCCAGCTTCCTCGTGACCTTGCCGACGAGCTTCGCGATCCAGCGGTCGTTCGCCATGGCGCTCACGGTGCTAACGCCAGCCTTGCGCATGCCGTCCCTCGTCTTGACGCCCGCCTCCTTGAACCCCGTGTCCACCTTCCTCAGGAAATTCCTGAACCCCTTGTCCTCCGCGACGGGGCCGATCGTCGAGCCCGACATGCCACTCCCCGTCGCCGCGGACGCGATGCTGCTTGCCTCGCTGTCTGAGAGCTCACCGGAGAGGCGCTTTCCAGCGAGATCCGTAGTGACGCGCTTGAGTTCGCGGAGTGTCTTCGCCTCCTCGAAGTCCTTGTCCGTCTCGATAACCTTGGTCGCCTTGACGAGCGCGGCGATGAAATTGAGCAGGTCCTGGTGGAAGCGCGCGGGCAGGTGGACGTGCGCCGAGATCTGCAAGTTCGCCTCGTCCTTGCGGAGCTGGTCGAGCGCCGTCTGCGCCTGGACTTCGCGGGGGGTGCCCTCCGCGTCCTTCGCGGCCTGCTCCATCTCGAGCTCTTCGAACTCGGTGGGCTGGGACGGCATGATGTGCTCGTGGTGCGGGAACATGTAGGTGGGGATGGAGAGCGTGGCGTCGGCGCCGGCGAGCGAGACGACTTGTTTCAGGTCGACAGACCCTGGGAGGACGCGGTGCGCCATGATGTCGCCGATCTTGTAGTGCGTTTCTATGTCGTAGTTGGTGTTGATGGGGAACTGCGCGGTGCCGCGCATGGATTTCAGGCCGACGGCGAAGTTGGCGTCGGCGAGCCAGGCGGATATGCGGGCTTTGAGGCGGCGGACGTCGGGGTCCTGGGTCGAGTAGTGCTTGAAGAGGTACTGGTCCATTAGGCTCACGAACCATTTCCCGGATCCGGCGGCGGTTATCGATTTGAAACTGACTGGGTGGAAGTAGCAGATGGGGTTGAGGAGCAATCGATAGAGAAGCGGCAGCCTGTGTAAGAACTTCTTGACTCCTGGGTAGTTAGTCTTTTTCAGGGTGGAGAGTCGGATAGAACGTTGAGGTGGGTGAGGGATCGAGGGGCGACTGTGGATGTGGGCGCATATTGCGGCTCGAAGGTCGTCCTCATTCTCCATATCTAGCCCGTTATCGTTCTCGTTCTTTTTGCTGTTGCGCTTCAGGTCATCAATGGCCAGTTTTATCTCGCTGGTATCCTGGATATGCTTTATGATCTCATTATATTGGTGGCTGGCCTCGTTTTCGTCCGGAGAGAGCTTCTTCACTGATTGGAAAGCCGACCCAGCATCTGGAGCCTCTTCTGGAGGATCACCTCCTGTCATTGCCTCGGCAAGCCCAACATGTGCCGCGCGTTTCCCATCGAGAGGCGCTGATGCCGCTCTTAATATTGCTGTGTCTTTCACCATGAAAGAATCGTCGTCGCTTTGGATCGAGTCCGGCTTCAAAGATCCGAATGTCATTTCCCAATCTCCTCCCTTGACATTAGCGTAAACATCATCGACTACGATTTCTCTCAGCAGCGATACCGTCACTTCGTCCGTCTGTATGGCGAGTTCCATATCCTCAGAAAGCTTGATGCCCACCTCCACGCCGTGGGCGACCAGGGTCAACGTGGAGAGCGAAAGAGTGACCCCGCGTATGGAAAAGAGCCCCTGGACATCGCCATCGATTTCCAAGGCGGGGAGATCGAAGAAAGCAACTTTATCCTTGATAAAATGCAAGTCCCGGAGCAGTGTCCCCCGAAGCGTCTTGCGGGCGAATCTCGCAGCAGCATCGAATTGGAACAGACAGGTCAGGACAATTGCGGGGTAACAGAGACCTGCGAAAACCCAATAGAGGAGCCAGGACGTCGAAGCAATGACATATGCAAGGTTGAGTGTCGATATGATGGTCCATAGTGGGAGAAAAGGCACGACACGGTGGCCATGATATTCACCAAGAACGAGAGAGTAGGACAGGACTGGAGCCCCCGCGATCAGCCAGCGCGTTGGCCTAAACACGGCGGTGATGAGAACGAGGGCAGCAGCAAAGGCACCGGTGCCAGTGTACCATCTTGAACTTGATGAAGATTGCTTTGTGGGCTTGGCCCCTGACTTGCGATTGGGTAGATGTGGCAGCTTGCGCTCCTCTGCAGTTTCCATGGCTTGGATGTGCCGCGTGGAGAAAGCAACGTGTTGCAGAAAGGTTTGAAGAAATTGTTAGATTCTGGTCAAATGGCCATCATGTCAACTCGAGTGATATCGAGATATGTAGAATTGAGGGATATGAAGACAGCCAGAGGACGAACTGCATGGCTGCTGTCTATGGATACGAGGTTCGCGCAACAGTGCTGAACGATGTTGTGTGCGTGACGTCAAAATGCCAAGCCTCTGTATTGTAACTAACCACATGGGTGCGACTCGCCATATCAGGTGTACATATTCGATATTTTGAAGACATGATCCGAATGCATTTGCAAGTGGTATCGATTTGGACGGCGTGAGGAAACGATGTTAAAGTAAACAGTGTCAGATGTTTCGTCTCTAATGAATTATCCATTAACAGAGCACGGGCACATCGATTTCCTAGGTCTCCCATGGTAGATCACACACTTGGCCACCCAATCAAAGGGCACGTGGACTCCACCGAACATTGACTGCCACAAGTCAACGGCCCAGAATTTTATGGGAGCAGGACATTGATTGCGACAGTTTCAAGCAAGAACAATGTTATGTTATGATGCACATACATCTTCAAAGACATACAAACTTAGAAACTGTGCCCTATCACGCAATGATACAGTTATTGAGACACATTCCATGATTCTGATCCGTAGGTATGTAGCGCTTGTTTGATCCGACCGTATGTTGAAAACTCAGTCAATGTTTCATTCGAAAACATCATCAGTCCACATAGGTTCTTCTAAAATTCATGTGTATAATCTCACCATGAGCAATCGGGACTCGGGCTTCGGTACCACGTCGCAGCGCTGATCGGAGTGAATATCTCAAGCCACTCAGCAGACTCACCGTCTGTTTTCCAAAATATGTCCGAACCAGAGTTCAGATGTACATACGTAAAATTGTACGCCACAACATGGCTTGAAGATAACAGCTGGACGCGGTGAGCGTGAAGTGATCAATTCGCCAGCATAAAGCTTTGTAAGTCGACGGCGGTGAAGGATCTAATGTGACCATCAAAACATATGGCACCGTAGGAAGCTACGAGTTTGAAAGAAAGCATGCGAATTGAGGATTTCGGGGGAGCAGGTCGCGATCAGATGCACTGCTGCAGTCCATGGTCGTGTGGTCACTGTGTACTCTGATAGGAGGCAATTCATGGGTCCGGTGGGCCGTTAACCATGCCATGAGCGCATGAGAGCCTCATTGCTTCTTTAGACGACAAGAGACTGTGCCTCAAGGCGGAGCATGTATGTGAGGAATTAATATCCTGAAGCTGGCCCAATCCATACATACTCCGCTGGAGAAAAGTGTTGTGATGCTCTGAATATTTGCATCCATCCTGCGTCTGCCAGGGAACACCGCGGCCGTTGAACAGCGCTCAAGACGACATCATCATCGCTGCTCAGTATGTGCCGATATTCTCTGCCATCCTTACCGTCGCATCCTGTGGCAGGAAATTACATTTGAAGCTCTTCAGCGTAGCGATTCTCTCGGCCTCTCGGCCGCGGATATCCGTAGGAGAACAGGAGAACAACTACAGCCGGCACAGCATTTCGGAATGTTTGTGGGGGAGATGATGGAGGCAGTTGGGTGTCCAGAATGTACTTGCAGACATGGAGTATCGGTTTCGTTGAGTGCGATGGTTGTCAGTCTTGGGCTTTGTTGAATCGATCGAACCCCCTTACTACCTCCCGACCTGCCGGTGAGGAAAAGATGGATGGGTAGCGAGCGAAGCGCGGCGGGAGGAGCTCCAACAACGGACAGTCCTTTCAGTATTAACCCTTTGCGGTCGTCGGAAAAATTTCCTTAACTTCGCCCGCTGCATTTTACATATTTTTGAGATGGTCAATGGCCTTTGTGCCGACGTAAGCCTTTGGAGGGTGATGAAGTCGGGTTCGAGATGATTGCTGAGCTGAGGCTGATGCAACGAAAGGTACATGTAATATCCGTATTTTCGGAGAGGAGAACATTCCTTAAATTCCTGGTTGGCCGAACAAGAATAATGCAGATGCGGCCGGATGGATTCGGTTGTAGATGGTCGTAAATGGCCAATGGTCGGTATTGTACAGCGCTGTTGGGATTGTTAGAGCATTGTGGTGGTGGTGTTGAGGTTGAGGCAGAGGCAAGGTGAACAGAACAGGCGTTCATGCCTTCAAACGCCAGCAGATCACTGGTCATTGCAAGGCGTGCGAAATAGGTCTACAGCGATAACGTGTTAGATTGTACTCGTATGCACTCTCCAGTGTACAGTGTAGGGCAGCCAATTCATTCACTTGATAGGTGCGGCCCGGGCCCTGGATCCTCACATGGCTGGCTTGTGTGCCTTGAAACTGTACCTAGGTACTAGGTTATTATCAACGATTATTGCCTGCCTGTTGGACCACTGGATACCAAAAAGTAGTGATGATTGTGTGTTGATGGTTGTTTGCTGTAGGAAGGGAGAATTATTGGCTACGTCATCGTCAAACACACGGCGAACCGGATCCGCAGGCCCGCAAGCAGCCAGAATACCCCATGTGCCCGCTTACATTGCCCGCATCGCTGTTGGTCGGGGTATTGTCTACAACTAATAGCTATGCCTTAACAGAGAGCGGATGATTGATGGAGGGGAAAGAGAGAGCGACAACCCAGACTCGGTGAATTAATTCCTTAATTGGTTTAAGATGCGTGTAACTGTAGGGTGAGGAGTACATCCAGCTACTTAGTATTGGGTAACTCCCACGCACACAGTCTACTGTAGTGTACACAGTTCCTCGTAGGTGCAGGTAGGCAGTGCGTATCTCTGACGACACGCGACAGTAAGCTGGGCATCAAAGTCGTGGCGTCTCAGCAGCATCCTCCATATTGATGCGCATGCATGATGATGCTGTTGGGCCGAGAGAGAGAACAGCGGTGCACTGTCATGTCTGGACAAGTTTCCTTCCCTTCATCGTGATAGACACATGTATCGGGTTACTTTGAACAAAGTCGGACATGGCATGTCTTGTCGGTCACTACTGTTGTGGACGCCATTGGCAATTGAGCCACAGCCCAGCCATTCCCTTGTCCGCACTGAGGCATGGCTTACCTCGTGCTTTGAGCGAGCTTGAGAGAGAGTTCATCATCGCAGGCCGGCTCCCATGTGTGTCATGCTACACTACGTGACTATCCCAGCGCATTTCTTTGTGTGCGGGGAAGCAGATGGCTCGACCAACCAGCGTCACACCGAGAGGGGAAGTTCATGTGCTTTAGGTAGAAGGGGTCCAAGAGGTCGAACGGGAACACGACTTCTCTAATACTTGTTCCTCCTCCTCTTCCAATCTCTTTGTTCTCTCCTGCTAGATACCTACTTCATTATTCATAACTACTCTACCACTGCTTTGAAACAACTTGTCGCTTGGTACCGTGGTAGACGAGACGCAAGGCATCGTAACTATCGAGTACGAGACGTTTCCATTCCGCACACGTTTGATTCCAGTGTCGAGACATCCCACCTCTGTTTGCCCTTCCTCCACTTTACGAGAATAGCGACAAGCGGCCAGCGATCAGCGAGGGCGACATCGGTCTTATTGCACGTTGTGTTTGGTGTGCGTTTCCTCTGTTCGTCCAGCCTCTGTATCGTGTCTACCTCTACCATTTTCCCTACTGTCTGCCCTGCCTTGCCCCACCCGGGACAGGTACCGTACAGTACTGTACCTACTCCACCTTCTCCAGCTCCAGCCCATTTCCGTCGCCGCCGCCCACTCGTACTCAAGGGACTACTAGAGACTACTGAGAGAGTGTCCACTCGGCTTGGCACGAATCAGACCTCCTCCTACGTCTCAGCCAGTGACCAGTCAGGTAATGTATGCAATCCAACGTTTCTTTCCTTACTATTATTTTTCTTCCTTCGCCCGTTGGCCTCTCTTCCCTCCGAACCCAAAAAAAAGAAGTCCCAATCCTCCGCGCCGCATTCGCAATAATCATAGTCGCGGGTTGACTCGGAGCTCCGCCGAGCCGCCCGCGACAATGCTGTGGCCGTTCCTCCAAGCAGATGTGTCCCAAAATGCATTTCCGAGCGTATATCAACCAAATTCACCCTCCACGGCCGCGGCTTATACCGTACACTCTGATGTATTCCGCCGCCCAATTGCAGACAACAACAAGCCACGAATAGTGAATCTCACAAGAATCCTCTTTGAATTTGCCCACTATTCATTATTATTGCATTGTTATGCAACCCCAGCGCACTTTGATTCCCCGCAAGTCCTAGTCGAGCCTTATCCGTGCGAGTCCCAGTGGTGTACTTGGATACATATTCACTACCTCTCTGTTTGAATGTATCTTGCGTCAGTGCATTCACACCTACATTTTGCCCCATTTATATCTTCTCTATATCTCTCTCTATTCCCCCTTCTCTTCCTCTTTGATTGATCATTCACACAACCTCCTCTCTTTTCGATTGTCTCTAACGAACCATGTCAGCAACATTCAAGATGCCTACCTCGCGCGTTGTCGAGAATGCAAAGCAGACCTCAGAGTCCGTCCTCTCGGACGCATCGTCTGCCGTCAAGACTGCTGCAGAGAATCCCAAGCGGGCAACTGCTGACCTGTTACACACCCCATTCATGCGTGCTGCATTGCCGTTCATCAATGGTGGCATTGCTGGCATGACTGCTACAACCGTCATCCAGCCTGTGGACATGATCAAGGTCCGCTTACAGCTCGCCGGCGAGGGTGTCAAGACTGGTCCCAAGCCAACACCAGTCACCGTCTTCCGGGACATTGTGGCTTCTGGCAAGGTTCTGGACCTGTACACGGGTCTTAGTGCAGGTATCCTTAGGCAAGCCGTGTACACCACTGCACGATTAGGCTTCTTCGACACATTCATGAAGAGGCTCACAATCTCGGCAGAGAGCAAAGGCCAGAAGATCGGCTTCAAGGAGCGGGCTGGTGCTGGTCTCGCCGCAGGAGGTTTGGCAGCCGTGGTCGGAAATCCTGCAGATCTGGCACTCATCCGCATGCAATCGGACGGTCTGAAGCCTGTCGCCCAACGAGCCAATTACACCTCCGTCATCGACGCCCTTACCCGGATATCCAAGAACGAGGGCGTTCTCCGACTATGGGCTGGCTGCTACCCGACCGTCGTCCGCGCAATGGCACTCAACTTCGGCCAACTCGCTTTCTTCTCCGAGGCAAAGAATCAACTCAAGGGCACTTCTCTTTCCTCGCGATCACAGACACTGACCGCCAGCGCCGTCGCCGGTTTCTTCGCTTCGTTCTTCTCCCTTCCTTTCGACTTCGTCAAGACGAGGTTGCAGAAGCAGACCCGCGCCCCCGACGGCACATTGCCATACAAGGGCATGTTCGATTGCTTTAAGCAGGTCGCCAAGGATGAGGGTCTCTTGCGATTTTACAGAGGTTTCGGTACCTATTACGTGAGAATCGCACCACACGCGTAAGCAATTGATCCCGATAACCCCTCCACCTTTTTGAAAAAAAAAAGCTAACCAATCCATAGCATGGTGACGCTCATCGTCGCGGACTACCTTGGCTTCATCACCAAGTGAGCCAGCCGAATCGTTTTCTCAGCCTTTAATATGCTCGTCGCGGAGCCTGGCGAAACAAGAAGGATTTGCGAGGATAGACGATCCGGGACGGTTGGATGAAAACTTTGGGGTTGTCGTCTTGATTTTTCTTATATCTTTCACATGTCTTGTCGTCGTGGGCCCTATTTTGCGATTTGGAAATCGTTACCGGCGTCCGTGGCGCTACTCGTACATACCATGGTCGGCGCACCGGGTTGTACCCTATTCTTATTATCTGTCTCCATTTAACATTGAGTTCATACCAACGCTACGATTGTCGAAATGAAATGATACGGAACGAAATTAGTCTATTGCTTCGAAGATGTGAACATCGCTGTAGCGATTCGGAATTGGTGATATCAGAGTGATCAGACTTTTCAAGGTTAACATTCCAATTGTACAGTATTGCTCTTGTGAATTACGTCTGATGCTAGATATTTCGAATCTGAGCGGCGCAGAAAAGTAAAAGCCCATGGTGAAAGTTTGAGTCGTACGAAATCCTCCAGCTTAGACCGCGATTCAATTTAGAACCCCACACTTTACCTTTGGTGGGCGCAACCACGCGCACGTGACACAGAATCACGCTAAAAGTGCAAGTCGCGTCTCCCCACGCGACAATGAAGCAAGATATCCACCGGCCAGAAAATGTCCACCAAATCCTACAATCCACGATCGCCCCAACATTAGAAGATGACCACACGACTTAGAAGTACGGCCGGCGGCCCATCCTCGCACCGGCAATCCACCGCCGCACCACCCACGGCTTCTCAAGAACGCACCCAGTCTCGCGGGGACGAGCTGCCGCCCTACCGGAAACCCTCACATCCGCTCGACGAGCAGGCGCAGGCGAAATTGCAGGAGGTGTATAATGGCCGGACGGCGAGCATGCTCCGGGAGCATCAGCAGCGGGCCGCGAAGCTTATAACCGAATCTGCGGGGTCCATTAATGATGCACTGAAGGAGCACCAGGAATACGTAGCACGGCGGCGGAAGAAGTGGGAGCAAGGGAAGGCAGTTGAAGAACAGGAAGAGGTGGAGCAGAAGTTGGCGGAGCTGGAGGAGAAAGTAGATAAGCAGACCACGCGCTTGGAAGAGAGCATGCGGTCTGTGATTGATACCGGGGAAGCAAATGAGAGAATCGGCACTGCGCTGAACTGGGTTCGGAGTAATGGCACACGGCGGATACAGGAGGAGTATAATACACAGATGAGCCAGCAACAAGGGGGAACGCAATCACGGCACAGAGCGAGAAGGGTCGTTGATGGTGAAGAGGATGATGATGAAGCGGATCAGCCAACTCCTGGACCAACGCCCTTGACACAGGCGAGAGCGGCTCTTACTGGCCCCAGCGAGATGTTTACCAACCAGCTGGAGAAGCAAAAGCTAGAGTATCAGTCTCTGCCGCACAACGCACGGTACAGCAAGCATAACGACTACATCGGGTTCAAGCGCATGGTGCACGACGCAAGATTTGGTGAAGATGGACCGCCTTTGGCGCATCCAGATTCCTGGTTCACCGAGAATGGAGCGCCGGCTCCTGGCATCACTGTTGTAAGGACGGATTTGGACGACGACGATGATATTGTCATAGACAAAGCAACCATCAGCACGCGCTGTCCAATCACTTTCCGGCAGTTCGAACACCCGTTTTCTTCGACGAAGTGCCCGCATACCTTCGAGAAGAATGCCGTGCTGCAGTATATTCGTCGCTCTACCATCAAGAACAGTGCCGGCCAGAAGGTCATGCAGTGTCCGGTGCCAGGTTGTGACCAGGTGAGTATAGGCTTGCTGTCTTTCCTGCCATGTGTATGCTAATGAAGTGAAAGATGATCTCCGCTTCGGATCTGATCGAGGATCTTATCCTTATCCGAAAGATCAAGCGTATGCTCGCCGCTGAACAACAGCTGGACGAAAGCGAGGCAGAAGATGAAGGAGCATCGCATGAAGGCGAAGAGGGGGCAGAGCCGATATCAAGCGGTGCACCTGCGCGGACTCAAAGTCAGAGCCCAACTCCTCCAATATAATCATTGCAGGTCTCTGTCGACCACCTCGTGTACCCTGCATAAAACGTGATGTTGAGCGACTGAAACTTATCGTGACTGTAGATGTTCCCAAGCACCGGCTACCTTGGACTAAGAGACTTGGTTGCTCCAAACGTAATGCCTCTCAAATAACAGACCTGACAAGACAGGAACCTCATCAAACCCTCCACTCGTCCTCACAACCCATCACCGTCCCCCCCCAACTGTCCACCCTCTCCTCCCCCACCTCCACAACCATACTACCAACCCTCTCCTTCCCACCCCCCTCCCCCTCCCCTTCCCCCAAAACCTCAAGCTCAATCCCAATCTCCTCAACCTCCTCCTCAGACGGCCAAACCGTCTCCCTCTTCCTCTTCCTCTTCTTCGCATCCCCCTCCACCTCCACCTCCACTTCCACCTCAACCTCCCTCTCCACAACCCGTCCCCGTCTACGCCCCCCAGCCATCCACACATTAACCCCCGTCACCCACTCGCTCCGCGGAAACATCGACCACGTGAACGTGAGCGCTATAGCTGCGAGGTACAACGCCAGCGCGATGGAGAAGTAGGCTGGCGTCGGGGCAGTTGTGGGGTCGGCGGTGGGTTCGCGGGGCGTGTGCGGCGGTGACGGCGATGGTGTGGTCATGATGCTTGCTTGCTTATCTGTTGATTTGATTTGGGTCGAAGGTGTGTGCTTGAGTTGAGTTGGAGGGCCTGGGCTGTTTTGGGTGTTTAGTTTTGTGCTTGGAAAGGGTGTTTAGAAGTTAGGATGTTGTTTAAGTGACATTGGAATGTTGGGGTTTAGGGAATGGGATGGTGGGTGGGTGAGGTGTACGATACTGGCTGGCTGGCTGGTGTGGATTGTGATGGCGGTGATGGTGTTTGAAGTGTGGCTGGTAGAATCGTGGAAGTGTTTGTATTGTCTTCTGTTTGCTGTTGGAGTGGTATTGGGGGTTTGGTGAGGTGGGTTGAGGTGAAGGTGATGGCGGGTTGTGGTGGGTGGATGGTGGGCATGTTGGCAGCGAGTTAGTAAGTGAGTGAGGGAGTTAGTTTGAGCTTTAGTGAAAGTGACGGTGAAAGTGGAAGCGAAGGGGAAGATGGACATTAAGGTGTGGGTTCGAGCTTCAGTGAAAGTGAAGTTGGTCATTCTGATATAGGATGGGACAGAGCATATAGAGTCACTTCTAAGATGCTACATCATACTTTATAGCTACCTAGAGGGAACATAACAGATTTTAAAGATTGTGTTTATAGTATGTAAGAGATTGTTATTCTTTATGCATGTTCTTATAGGGTTGATATTAGTAGATAAATCTGCAGCTATGGACGGCAGTGTGTATAACATAGATTAGGAGAAGTATAGTGAACCAGTAGGAAGGATACTGTACTTGTATATGCTGTGTTATAGTAAGTAGTTTTGGTAGTTTCCTAGTAAGTAGGGTGAACCTGGTGGTGAACATGGTGGTGAAAGTAGATTTCGTGGTAAATGTATTAGTGAAGGTTAATAAAAAGGTGAACATGGCAAGTGTCTATCGAGACTAAGTAGTGGAGATTCATTACACACATCACCAGACATAGAGAAGTCCTTGAGACGAACATTTGATATATTTAGTCTTATGGCAGTCTTGCGCTGCCTAGCACATCGCAGATGCCAAAGGCAACTAATCGATGTGGTATTGCTTAGAGTCTACCTAGACTCGTGCGATTGGTTGTGCTGTCCAGGACAGCATCGCGCTAGCATGGCTGGGTATATATATACGATTACAAGGACAATTCGAAAGAAAGAAAGGAAAAGGATAACGAAATGAACTCGAAAATCAGATCAGTCTCGGCCGTTGGGCCAGGACTGCCATGCTCAGCATATCGACGACCAACGTTGACGTCGTGGGGCGGCCAATGGAAGGCCCGAAGCTGGATTCTGGATTGGCTTCATGGAGAAGCATGCTCCAGTGGAATTCTCCTTGCAGTTGAGGAAGGCAACATCTTGTGCCTGGACAGACAAGCGACGTCTGTTAACGGACGGTACGTGACGGGGATGGTCGCTCAGCTCTACTTCTTCCCGCCTATCACTTGCGCCTTCCAGCCTTTAGAAGTGGGAGTCTCAACGTCGAATTGGCTAGTGATTGTCGTAGTTGTCCTGCCCTGCTGAGAAGATGCTGGGAGCCCTTTCTCGATGTCGCGGGGAGATCGATTGGCCTTGGATGGAGGGGGAGAATCAAGACGGACACCAGTTCGACGGTTTGGACGTTTGGGGACATCACCACGGCCAGTAAGGCGACGAGAAGCCCTGCGTAGGGATTGTCTAACATCCCATTGTCGTTTCTTCGCAAGCCAAAAGAGGACCGCAGAGGCACCTGAAGGACAAGTCAGTGAGGCATTCCCGTATGGATTCGCAATTGTTATTTACCTCCAGCGACGGCCACCAGGACAGCGACGACAATGATGGCGATCAAGCCGCCTTTGGAAATGTTGAAGGCTCCCTTGGATGCCCCTTCTGCTCCCGCTTCACTGGGGTCCTGTGGATTGTCGACACCTCCATTGTATCCTTGATAGTTGGTTTCGACAGGCACTCGAGCGGTGAGAACAGATGCTGCCGCCCGATTCGCAAACACAAAGGACGACAGCAGTGCGTAGAAGAGGGGAGACACCAACATGATGGTAGATCGGTATCTACCTTTGCGTTTTAGATTGCGGCGAGGTGGTGCGAGTATCAGGCGCAATCCGTGGGTAGATGCAAAGAGGCACAGAAGTCGGTCGGTCTTACAGGCAGAATATCAGTCTACAGGATTCGGACAGCAGACCATCAGGTCTATATTGCGTGCCCGATGTGAGAATTCCTCATCACATTGGCCATCACCAAGACCCCGCTACAGGTCAGAACCGGCGGTTACAGGTAGGATAGTGCATTGTGACGAGCAAGGGGGGCCCGAACAGCAGCCTTGTGAGCAGGCGCGTCCTGATTTGGCGCAGAGCATGGCAAAAACGGAGGGACTTTGAGCGAATGGTGGGTACGATTGGCGAAGAAACGAGGATGTGAGTGCATTGGAGCGGTTGTAAACATGGAGGCGAGTTGATGAGTGGTTGTGCATGTTCAGGGTCCGGGTGATAGTGCAACCGGAGGAACGCAATCCACGATGCTGATTGGCTGACCCCGTGAAGCCCAGGTCTCTGCAAGCGCCGGGCATATCCTGTGAATGCAGGAGACGTACGATTCTTCTGTTAAACCGTCCGATTTTCATATACTTTATATATATAGATATATAGATACTGACTATCTGCCACTACTTTGATAATTGATCCCTATCGACCGCCGGATCGCTACCATCCCGCTGTTTGCCCAAATGCTCTTAAACTCCTGCCGTCTCGCTATCCTGCACACTAACCCGCACACGTCTTACCTTTTTGGAGTTCAAGGCAAGCCCACTGTCGCTATAGGTCACAACGAAGACTGCACTTCGTAAATGTTTGATCGCTCGCCCAAACGACACAAATCTTGTCAATCCTTTAATAAACTGCATTCGAAAATATGGTCAACCATGTATCATAATCTCGGTCATAAGCGCCCAGAACACCAATACCTCCCAAGCCCTAGGCGTCATCTATCTCTCTGTTCTGACCTGCACTCTGCATGGTTGATGCTCCACATGCGCATGCTTGTTCTCTCTGATCTATCGTCTGACGATTCAAGAGTGCTCCGACCAATATCTGGCGGAAATACTTGAATGATGAGGCGGTCAGTAGGCTCCGTGTGGCAAACGACCTTCTCGTCACGTGATACTCTTCGACCGCTTCCCCCCCCACAAGCAACCGCAAACCCGTGTAGGAATTTCTTAAGGAATTTGTCAAAGATCTTTGCCTCAAGCCAGATTCATTGTTGCTGTTCGAAGTGTAAACTTGCGGCTTAACCAGGAAGTATCATGCAGTCTACCTCTCCTTCCCTACACTTACACGTGCGAAAATAAATCCACAGAACGCCTAAGCCTGACATGGCTTTCACTTAACCTTTTCCCTGTTCCTTGCACTTACGAATATGAGGATGAACTTGTAGGATATACACTAAATGTTCATTGCAATCATGGTGGACCTATCTCCAGAGATGCTGTGCATAGTTGGTTTTGCCGGAAGCAGTCATCAGAGCAAATCGCCCTTGCCCCAACATGCTATCTATGGAAATGGAAGGCACTCACCGTCACCCACCGTCCACCTGAAATTTGAACATGGCCTCCCTCAGAAACCAATCTCCCTCCACCCATCTCGAATTTCACTACATCGTTCACCTTCACCTTCTTCCGTTTCGTTTACCTGCTAGCCCTCGAGAGAATTTCGAGCATGCAGACTGAAAGCCTCATGGCTTCTTCTGGAGTCCTCGTGGGGAGGCAACCCACAGTACCATCCCGTCTCAGACATGAATATCAGCCCGAAGCATCCGTTGAGGATATCATCATCCCCGAAACTCAAGAGTCAGCTGCAGTGATCGATACTGCAGAAGATCATGATCAGATGGGTAGCAGCATGGTACCAGAGAGCCCTACAACAGCCGCCTTTCTCGATAAGAACTCGGCTAGAAGTGGAACTTCAGCCCTCAACGTGGTCGAACCCATCCCTTGGATTCAGAAACCAGAGGTCGCAAAGGCTAGTCGTCCGAACACTTTTGCGTTTAAACCACTGCCACGATCATCTGCAGCGAAGGAATCTTTCAAAGATATTGAGCCAGTGCCACCGAAAAGACCGATGCACGCGGACAAGCTTGCGGGACCACTTTCTGTGGTTCAATCAGTTTCTGATGCCAACTCCTTCACAGAACCAAAGTCGTCAAAGCCTCACTCCATAACAGAGTCGTCGGAGAATCTTAAGCCTTGTCCTGATATCAAAGTTGAATTGGGGCCTGTGACGGAGCCGTGTATCGAAATTACGGGCATACTCGACGATGTCCACCGCACAGAAGCCCGTGGAGCTGAGCCGACTTTGGAGGCTATACAAGTTGTGATAGATACAACTACTCAATCTCCAGAAACAACAAAAGAGGTGTAAGTTTCCATGGCATCTAGACCACGTCACAGCTGCTGATTTATATAGTTCCCCGAGTCACCCGAAAAAGGATCGTCAATCCTATCGAGAATTGCTTTCATCTGCAGATACCAACTGTACACCGCTCGAGCCCACTGTGCCAGGCGATAAGAGACTAGAGCACAAAAGAAGCCGCAAGGAGCGTTCGAAGCAGCGTCGAAGGCCCGCGAAGGGAATACCCTTTAGACGTAGCGGCACTACTGTCGAGAATACTACCCATAAAGGCGATACCACCGTGCAGAAACCGGGCACTGCCTTGTTGTCCGTGGAATGTGAGAACATGGTCAATGACAAGGCCGAGGGTCTTAGTCGCAGCAATATCACCGCCGATCCTCGTCCAGATGATGCACAGTCTACATCACACTTGAGTGAAGAAGATAATCATGATGTGCCCCGCGGCAGCCGTGGATCTCCAGATACCCCGCAGTAAGTAATGCCATCCATGAATCACCCAAAGCTCTTGTTCTAAATGCTTCAGCCATCAAAACGGCGATACCGTAGAATTGCGGGCTGTACAGGCTGGATCAGACGAACCGCCTAGCCAGTCTATGAACACCAGCGTAGAGCTTGATTCCAATTCAGACCCCCAAAAGGCCACTACTTCTGATGAGCGATCAAAATTGGACGTGCATGATCAATTTCTGCATCGGGTATCTTCACAAGCTTCGCCAGGTCGGATAGGTAAACCAAAACGCAATCCTATCTCTCGTTCTCAAATCGCCTCATCGCATCCCAAGAAAAAGCACCCCTTTGCATCTCTGGATGGTCCCCAACAATCTTTCCTTGCCTACCTAAGCATACATGAATCAACACAACAAAAAGTCATTGATCATCAGGCCAAAGAGATTGATGCACTTCGGGTTACTGTTGAAGCTCAGGCGAAAAGCATTGATCACCAGGCCATGGAGAATAATGCGACTCGAGTAACTATCAAAGCTCAGGAAAAAAGCATTGATCACCAGGCCAAAGAGATTGACGCGCTTCAACTTACCATAAAAACCCAGGAGAAAAGCATTGCGGCGTTACAAGAGGCCAAAAATACTGCAGATGCACAAAAGGAACGACGGCAGAGGGTGTTGACAAAACTGCGGAACTTGACAGAAGGCATGGCATCAGATTTTCGCCAACTGGGTATCGATAATCGTCAGATCGTGGAGCAATTTCTGACGGTAGCAAACGAACATACCGAGAGCATTCTCGTCAGAAGCCACCAGCTGCACGAGCTGAAAGATGATTATATCAAGTTCATTCTTCCGTACCAAACAAGAATGCGATTTGGGTTGAAGGAATGTCGCAACACGCTCTTCAGGCTCATCTCCAACCTCAATCATGGTAAAACACAATTGGTAGCTGGGAAGGAGAAATATGCACAGCTCGAGGAGCGTGTTCGCACCCAGCTTCATACGATCCAGGCTGGCGTCGGAAAAGAAGGTCGAAGATTGTCCGAGAAGCTTGACAAATTGCAATCTTCAGTAGAAACAGCCTCCTGTGCTGATACTGCGAAATCGTTGCTCGAGGCACTTGACGCTTTCCGAACAAGACCTTTGCTTAGTCTGAGAGACTTGCAGTCGGCCGAGGGAATGTTGGAGAAAGTCCATCAAAGGTAAGTACATTCGGCTTTTATGGACAACTAAGCTCAAGACTATCGAACAGCATTCATACGAAACTCGACTCCCTACATGTTTCGGGTGGCGACCATGTCTCTGCTGTTGAAAATACCCGCGGCCTTGTGAAGGACAGCTTCGAGGACCTGAAGAACGACTTGTTAGATTTCAATAAGATCAAAACCGAATCTCAGATGCTTCAACAAGCAAATGAGCAGCTCAACCACCAGCTGGCGACGCAGAAAGGCCAATGCGACAAATTTGGGGAGGAAATTATCCAGTTGGAGAAAACCAAGTCTGAACATGAAGGGCACATTCAGAAACTGGAGGCGACTATAGCATCACTGAATGAACAATCAGGTCGAGAGAACGCAGCATCGTCAGAGACTAAGCTTGAACTGGAGAGGCTTTACGAAAAGCTTGGGGAGACTGAGCAGGCTAAGGAGGTCAGTCATCCGCTTGAAACAGTTCGATAGACTCGTAGCTGACTTGGTCGCAGCAAACCGAAGCCAATATCAAGGCTCAACTTGAAAAGCTTAACAAAAGCCACAGCAGAATCTTGGAAGACCGTGAGGCTGAATGGGCCAACAAGGTTCATCGGGCCAACCAAGAAAGAGACGAGAAGGACAGGATTTGTCAAAAGACACAGGATTCGTTGCAACGCATGCGACAGGAAAAGCATAGTCTTAACACGAATCTTAAGAGTGCTCGCGATGACAAAGAAAGCATGGCATTAAAGTTGAGCAAAGTGGAGAACGACCTAGACGATATGTCTCGCCTTGCTGAGGAGTATTCCTCACGCATAAAACAAATCCAGTCTGCTGGACTTGAAGAGAAATTTGAAGTCGAAAGGCGCGGCTTTCTGGATCGCATCACGACACTCGAAGAGAAGAAGAGCCAATTGGAGGAGGTGAACCGAACAAAGCTGACGGAGCTGCTGGCCAAATATAATACCAGCTTTCTCGGCATTACCAGTCCACAACTACGGTCGAGGTTGACAAGTCTATCCTTATCCGAAGGTCTTGATATGCTGGAACGGCTGCTAGAAGCAATGCAGAGTGCATCAAACCCTGTCACTCCAAATGCCCGCTCCGGTATTCCAAGTCAAACTGACAGTCCTGTTCGAAACCGGTCTGCAAGCTGTGTTCCAGAGACACAGTTGTTTGATACGCCCCCTGTATCAGGAGCACAGAACGCCGATGAGAAGTCACAAACCCAAGAGCCCTCTTCATCCTGTTCACAGCTATCAAGTTGTAGCTCGGACCAACTCCAAGAGATATTCTCCCAAAGTCAAGGAATCATCCATTCGCCACGGTCTGGGAACAACCACTCCACAATGGCTCGTAGCTATCAGCAGGGAATTAGTCTTCATACCGAGCGAAGCGATGGACAATTGGCAATGCGTGCCAATACCGCATCCCGGATGGTTCCTCGCCACCCGAAAGCGTCTTTGCAAGAGGACACAACAACAAAGCATCGTGGGAGCATCATGAAGTCTTCTTCCCCTATCAATGATCCCATACCTGCCCATGGGCATGGTTTAGAATTGAAGCGTAAGAATCCGTCAGATGCGGAGGCTCAGCCTCGTTCAAAAAGGAACCCTCCCTTGAAATCAGTGCTGCCCAGAACCATTGGTGAGGCCTCTCAGAAGCGCCAACGCAATACTCCAAAGACAAAAGGTTCAAACAACAGTGTCAGCACACCGGCTCGCCGCCCAAAGAGTAAGTGCAGCCGAACAGGAACTGCAACTTTTCGTACTGACATGAACTATACAGATCCCTCCTCACACTACGAGATGCGATTTAACGAAGAACTATAGCAAGTGGTCTCCTAAGTCATGTCCCTCGGAGATCTTACAATTGTCAACGCCTGTTTCTGTGGGTCGCAAGTTCGTATCGTGCAATATCCTGCCGATAGCTGTCATCACATACCTCTAATATCCCGTACCACAGTAACGAGAAGCCATGACGAACATCACGGATATAGAACCATCTCTGCAAGAGGAGCTTTCAAATACCAGTTCAGCTCAAGGTGAGCTCAAGGTGTGCACGTCATGTCAGTAGCATGTGCAAGAACTCTGGAACTCTGGGTGACTCCTCCCATATATGCCGCCAATGATCAGCTCGGGCACATCTGTAGCGAAGTCATTAGAATTTCGATTCTCCAGAACATCATACACATTACCTACTCCACCTCTATGTTATAGATCAGCTTCCACATGTCTTAGCGGGTAGCATAATACAATACAATATTCATAGACATGCACTTTCCACTAAAGTATGTGACCTTTAGTTTATGGCATTTTGAACCTTCAATTGAAAAATGTCTAATGTAGAGGTAATCACAGTCCTTTCCAAGTAAAAACACACTGGATGCCATCAACTTTACGCCATCTTAGCCGAGCCTCAGTTTGCACTGTTTCACCAGTCCATGACATTGCGTAGTCTAACACACCATGTGCAGAAACTCCACAGATTACCTCCACCAATATACACTATTCCTGTATACATGAATTAGCCTCCACGAACAACCATCAACACAATCACCCCAACACCAATTCCCACAGCCACGAAAGCCAACTAACTCCCAAATGCAAATTTAGCATCAAACCCTTCCTCCAACCTGCTGTGCCGCAACACCTCCCCACTCCCTCCCACCCACCAAAGCGCCTAGTCCACCACCAGCAAAACCTACAAGCGCCCGTCAATCAAAACCGTCCCTCTGTCCATCTACACACACAAAAATGAAGGACGAAAAGATAAAAAAGATTCACATCCTGGTGTGTGTGTGTGTGTTTGAAACACACCTACATATGCAGAGAGGTGGAGAAGAAAAAAACGCATGACCGCGCTTGCGAGCCAAACATAGACACCACGCGCGACGCGCGAGACTGCGTCCTCGCTAACGGGACGGGAGGGTATCGTGGCCTATCGAGTGGTGGTGCGAGGGGTTTTCTGGTGCGAGATGTGCGAGGGAGATCGGGCGCAAGAGATGCGAAACGGGGGGGTTTGGGAGGGGGGTATAGGCGCCCTGGGGTGATGCGTTGCGGAGGGGATGGGGAGTATGGTCAGCATGAATGGAAATGTTGCGGTGAAGTGATGCTTGGTTTGTTGAAGGGGTGGTCCGGTTCACAAGCGGGAGGTTGAGGTTGTGAATGTCGGGGTGGTGTTGATTGAAGGTATGGCGGTTCGTGGGGAGTAGCTTTTGGATTCTTCGGGTATGGAGCTATAATTAGTTGGACAAGTAGGTAGGTAGCTGTTCACCGTTGAGCGCACATGTCGTCGTTGCGACGCCGTAATCCAGTCCGAATCCCGTGATGCGATCAATTCTAGATGTCTCTTCCAGCGTTCAGCTTCGGAAATTGGAGTTGCGTTCAGACGTCATTACCTGACGACGGGAATCAATGCTCGTTTGATGTGTCTTAGTCGTCGCAAATTGCCATATGGTGTTGGCGTAAAACAGGTCAGTCAACTAGGAGCTTTGTCTGCTGGTGATACAAGTAGCTTCTCTACGACATAATCGCCGACTACGACCTGTGCGAACGAGCACGCCTGAGGCCACGATAGATGGTCCGCTAAACCACATCTGCACACATCTTTTCCGGCTGGCTGGTGGACCTTGTTGGAACCAAAAAAAACAAGGTTCAACAAAAAAGCAGGAACAAGAGCCGTAAAGGCCTTAGTGACGCGTTTGCTGGGGGGCTGAACCGGCAGAAAGAACGTATGCCATTCGTCCCATTCCCTGAGCAACTCCAAAAGATCAGAAAGTTGGTTGGAATGCGAAACATGCGAGAAAGAGGCGCAGAATCTGGATGGAGGAAGGTTTGGGGGCTAATATTAGAACTACGGCTCGGGGGAGGGAAATTGATAGGGCTGGCTCACGTGCGAACGGCCCCCAAACTGTCAACCCACCCAGGTACGGCCGATCATTTCCTCATCTGTAGCAATCGGTCTGGCCGAAGTAGTCCTGTGGCTGTGAATTATTGGAATGTTGTTGGTGGTACGCTTTTTGGTAATATGAAGTAATTTCAATTAAGACCTTCAGCTTGCAAGCCACATCCCATCCTTGAAGTTATAGTCCATCACGTGTGACCGCGAAATTCATCATTAGCCAGATACGGGACGTGTGCCTCAGGCCGGGTTCCCTGAGTGGTTGTGTTTCTTGTCACAGCCTCACATACCCCCCTAATTGTTTTGATTGTATGATAGCGGGATACTTGATATTCAAACATGGTGTTGTATGCGAGTACAAAGTGTCTGGCGCTGTCCAATGGAAGAGCGCCTTTCTGCCACTGTTCGAAACAGGCACAGCCCTGCCCTTTCGACTCTCGAGTTGTCAGTGCTTTTCACATGCTTTACCCGAATAGTATGAGAATGCATGGATGTAACTCGCTTGTGTATTTCCCTTTGGCATCACGATTCTCAACCTATCAATTGTAACATAATTGGCATATTATCTCCGTAACAAGGTCTAGAGAAGCACGAGTAATCAAGAGAATGCAGACGTGGATAGATGAAGACAAGTACACGCGCCGGCCGTCTGCTTCATCAGCTAGCTGTTCACCACCTTCACCGGTGAGGCTGCAATGCATTAGAGCTGCAGCTTGCGTGCAGATGCAATGGACGACAGACGCGCAAGCGACCACCGGTGTCGACGAGTCGGGCACGGGGTTAAACCCCAAACCCCATACCGACATATAGTGCATCGGCCAGTGACATGATCGCAATCTGTTTGTTGAGAAAGAGATCCCTTTTCGACAGCGGGGAATTGCCATCTCGTTGGACGGAGCATGCCAGGAACCTCCTTGCAATGCCCACATACATCGCGAGTGAGCGATGTGAGTTGGCATTGTGGATATGCCCCGGACTGGTAAAGCGGTAGCGACTGGATTGCGCAAGCGAGCCGAGTATACCATGTATTTCGTCGACGATGGTTCGAAAGATGATTGAGTGATCAACACGCCCGTATGTGCGCATGCGCGCGCGCATGTCAGCGTCGGTTGAGGTGGACACGGCTAACTGCATCAAATGTCCGACTGGAGAGGCTGGCAGGCTGGCAGGTGGAGCGGATATCAGACGATGTCCACTTTTGGTCGGTCATTTGTTGTTTCTGGCTCAATGGATTGGACTGCCAACTCAGGTACGTGCCTATTTGGGGTAGATATGTATGTAATTACTATGTGTATGTACATGTATGTACAACATCTGCTGAAACAATGCACCCCTCAATCACCGGTCGCGATAATTACAAGTCGACACCTTTGGCATCCACAAGACCAGCCTGAGCAATCGATCCCATGTGGAGTCTTTGCCAACGAATGTCTTCATTTAGTTCTGTCCCAATTCGAAAACGCGCAACGATCATCGACATCGACTGAGACGGCAGAAGAGCTCAGGTACCGAAGCCGAGCCGGGCAGCCCATAGTAGCACGGTCAGCAGTTCTTACATACAGTCCAATACTCGTACAGTATGTGCATACATGATGTTGTGTTGCCGTGCCAGCTCACGGAACTCGCCACCGATCTCCGCCGAGGTATCCCCATTCCCCTAGATATCGCCCAGATACGCGTGTTCACGCCTCATTTTCGAGGTGTCGGTTCTTTTTCAAACGCAGCAAACACCAGTTCGAACAATCAGAGGTCATCTCGGTCTTATGAAGCCCTAACGTGTCATTATGATCTTCGAACTATACTACGATAACGTGATGGTGCCCGATGGATGATAGTCATGTTTGCTCGCCCACAGGGTATTTGCCGGCATCGTGAGGCTTCAACGAAGGACGCTGGACCCTGAAAAGCGAGATCCCGTGTGCTGGGAAGTGCGGTATGTTCTTGCACCGAGGTTGGGAATACGAGAGGTAGTTGCTCGTAGCCATTCCACGGTATCCCGGGTTGTCAAGTTGACGTGTCAAAGCTTTTGACGTCGTGGAGCTTTTCGGCACGGCAGACTATCTACAAGTAGGAAGAGAGGAGGGACTTCGGCTTCACGGCGCGATGCGATGCATAGATGCCCTCGGTCACGGTTTTGGTCGTAGTATGTTTGTTAGCAATCGACCTGTTTCAAACAGGTACACCGGACCTTCTATGGTTCGCCCAACTGGACTCGAGGTCTTGGTGTTGGCCAAACACGTGGACCATGTCGAGTCGAGGTGTTAGACACGACAATCAAGTCGACAGGTTCATTGGTGATCACAAGCACGGAGTACTCTATACCAGTTCCACGTCTATCTGTTCATCTCCGCCTTTTTGCAAAAGTGCCGACTCCGATCCCCAAGTTATTCCCCCTCCATTATCGTATGGACTCTGCCAGAATAAGAAAAAGCAAAAATAATATCCAAGCCAAGGGACCCTTCCATAGTTGCCTCCCCTTCGCGACCCGCCTCACCCTTTCACAGGCAGAGTCGGAAGGAAGATCTACAACACCATCACAAGTCTCCCAACCAAGATACTGGGCCCGCACTCTCGTCATCCATCCCCTTCAGACAAGGACGACATTACGGCCAAGTTTCTTGCCTGCCTTGCGCATTCGCCTCTATCATCTGGGCATTTCCGTAATTGCAAACATGTCGACGTAGACGTAAACGTAGACCTAGACAGAATGCTGGTAAGCAAAAGGTTGACGTCGTCACCATCTGAAACAGCCTCGTCTGCGAATGAGAGACCACAAAACATGATAGACGAGGTGTGTCCCGTGTGAGTCGTGCGCGCCTCAGCAAGCAGGCAGCGTAAGCCAGACAGATGGTGGTGCGACCGATTGCGCACATCGTCATCATCGTCGTCGCCGTCGCCGTCGTCCATTCAACCACGTCTTCATTTCGCACATCAGCCAGCCAACCAACCAACCAACCAGCCGACGCAATTTATCACTGAGCAAGGTGGTGAATAGCTCAGGCAAACCACTTCTCCGCTCCCCACGATCTTCTCAAGGTACGCGCATGAACGTTTCGAAGCGCGACGTAAAACATTATCGCACCTGCTATCCATAAATCATCTCGCCATGAATAAATTAATAGTTAAAATAAAAAATCCAATAACTATACCATGCCAATAGTCTTAATTTCCCATGCCCATGACTCTTGCGCAACTTCGCACAACCCTGACAACCACAGCCGATCGACTTCACTATCGATAAACATCGCTGCCGTCCGTAAGAAAACTCGCAAACTAGTTGCGTTTGACGAACGAAAAGGGTTCAGGGTTCCAGGCCCCAACGACACCTTTCCTCTCATTCTCGCACATCTGCCAGCCGTCGTCGCGGGAACGTCGATGCGTGAGTGGTCGTGTGTGTGGCCGCCTAACGCCCTGCCCGTCCGGAGGGGAGCATCTGACGTCGGTAGTGGTCGCATACTGCCTGTCTCGTCTTGTCTTGTTTGGCAGTATTGCGCATTACACAGTACACTACAGCGGATGCTTCCAAGCACGCACTGCGCAGGCAGAAATGCACCTTGAAAATCAAAATATAATTATACGTGCATCTTACTTACATACCAAAACTACGCGACATTTAGTTCGTGCTACAACATCAGCAGTAGCAGTAGCAGCAGCAGTAATTGACTAGTAGTAGTCGATCAATCGGTCGGTCGGCCGTCTCTACGACCTCTCCCTGCCTATCAAAATGATAACCTCAACACATACCTCGTACCTTCACCATCGTTTCACCCTAGTAATATCAAAAAAGGTGTCTACTCTGCTTACGCTGCACACATTCATACATAGATACATGAACAACAGTAAAATAATTATCCGATACTCTCGATTAATCGCCCGATCCATCAATCGATCAACACCCATGCTATCAACTGCTGCTGCTGCTCACACCCTACGAATTCCAAAGTGCACCACCGTCGTTCGATCAATTCAGTAATTATCTCGCACTTTTGCCCCTCCCCTGCTACACTACACCCTATACTCATAGCTAGTTATCTCGAAATGATTAAAGTCAAAGTGAAAAAAAATGGCAGTACGGTGCACTGTTACACAACACCCACTTCTGCACTACTCACTGGCACGCCTTAATATGCAAAACTCCAAACTTCAACCATTTTTTGCACCCTAGGGCCTACTCACTGCTTTCTTGCACTGCACGAATGAATATGCAAAACTGCACTTTCATCCCCTTTTACACTCTTGTCGCTTTTGCACTCAACAAGTACTTACTCCATAGTGTCTAAAACCAAGGGATGCAGTTCTAATGCAGCAAGCAAGAAAAAAAAACAAGTCGCGTGGTCGGCGCACCCGTAGTCACGCCGCGGTCGTGCGTGCATTGGTGACTGACTGACTGCTGTTGTGTATCAAGTGTGTTGTTGTGCTGCCGGTGGTGGTGGTGGTGGTGGTGGTGGTGGGGTGTCTTGCTTTCTGCATTCGGCGTGGTGTGCTGGTGGGGTGTGTGTAGCTACTCGTACATGACTACGTGCGTGCAAGTTGCCAAGATATACTTGCACCTAGCTGTTGCTGCAGCACCACCTCCCCCCCCCCCCCTACCTCAGCACTAAGTGACTACGAGTAAATTGTGAGAGGAGATAGGACGACGCAGTTGGAGAGTTCCTGGCCTGGTGCGGTGCGTACGGGGACGGGAAAGGGGGGACGGAAGGTCGAGCCAGAGGTATGCTGCGAGGCTGTGAAGACTGTCCATTCGCAGGTGGGAGAGAAAGCCTCCAGGGGCATTTTTTCCAATTCATTCAATCAATCTCTCTCGGCCCATTCGCGAATCAAAAGTGCTGGGGTGTAGGGGGAACGGTTCATCACTCAAGGGGAAAGGCTTGGGGGGAATGCAAGATTTTGGGTTTTGTGTTACAACAGTGTTTATTCCATTCAACTGTCTATCCTAACGTCCCCTTCCCTCCTGTCGTGGGTTCCAGTGTTCTCATTCAGCTCGTAAGCCCCAGACGTCATCACATTGTGAAATGTCCGTCTTCCGCCCAAGTTCCTCTGCAAATTGGACCCCCACTGTAGTCTGTGGGCGCCCTTGCATCTCCCTCTTCTCCGCTTCATTCCATGCAAACCCCGAGTATCTTTCCTTCATAACAGCAAACGCAGTGCTTCCTCCCGCAAGCAAAGCAAAACAAGGACCTCTGATCAAAACTTGTTGATGCTGGAAATAATCGACACAATTAACTGAAGTTGCAGGGCGCAGCTTTTGCAGCATGCGCCAGACGGCCATTGGGTTGGTTGGTGGAACGCTCTAGACTGAGCGTAGTCCTCTTGTCTAGGCTTTGCCGGTGGCTGGGTTTTCGTATGGTGTGCATATAGACGCTTTGTATTATAATAAAATCATCCCAAACAAAGGAAACGGTGGTTCATTCATCGGTAGTAGCCAGAGGACCTGTGCTCGCGGATGTCGCGCACAGAGGGCTCTCGCACCTCCACCCGGTAATGCTTTGCATTCCGGCGCATATCAGCAATGTCCTGCTCGTAGAGAGAGCCGCGTCGAGAGCCGGTAGAGTTGTTGATCTCGGCGACGGCCTTGACAGCTGGGGCTGGAGCCTTTGGCTTTGGTGATGCAGAGAGCTTCTCTACAGTGGCCGGCCAGTCAACAATCTCGCCAGATCGTGGTCGCTTTGGCTGCTCAATCTTGACGGAGCGTGATCGCTGGCGGGGAGCAACGTAGTAGGTGCGGTCCATGGAGACAAAAGGAGAGCGTGAGCGGTGACGTGCGCTGCGCTCAATGGCCTTCAGCAAGCCCTTGACCTCGAGGTAGTCGGCGGGCATCTCAACACGGACGAGCTTGTTCTCCTCCTCAGCAGTGCTGTAGGTCTCCCCCTTGGAGTTGTTGTAGAGGAAGCGGGCGACTTCCTGGGCCAGACGGTGGCCCTGGTCACAGAGCTGCTGATGGCGACGGTGGACCTGGTATGGGTCGACGCAGTAGGCACAGCGGCGGGCGTGCATCTCGAAGTGGTAAGCAGCCCAGCCCTCGTCGTGGTCAGCGGGACGAGAGACAGAGCTCACGGGGTCCCTCAAGAAGCCGACACGGGGAGAAGCGTCAGAGGAGGTGGAGCTCCTGGACGACCTGACGGACTTGGAGCGGACGAGAGTAGGCATGGTGTTGGTTCGAACTAGGGAAGGCATCTCTGCGGAAGGTGTAGAAGTGTTCTTCAAGATTGGGCGAGGTGAGGAAGCCGTGGTGACGACGACCGGTGCCAGGCGATGGGGGTAGGTTTTATAGTTTTGGTGTGCACAGTAGGAGGCCGGTGATTGAATCAAAGTGGATTGCTGAATGGTGACGGTTTGTGGTGGTAGTCCTTATAGCAGTGTTGGTGGTGGTGGTGGTGGTAGTGGTGGTGAATGGGAAGACTCTTTGTATTCAGACCTGGAAGGAAGGTTGGATGATTGTATGGAGGGAGGGTAGGATGGGACAGATGTTTTGTTGGACAGGTGGAATGTTGTTGTGGGATGTGGTGGATGAAGGAGGAGAGAAGATGGATTGAAGGTGGAAATGTGTAGGAATATGTATATCTGTAGAGAGTAGTGGACAGACCGGGGTATGGTTTGTATGGATGGAGCTATGCTATGGCTGCTGCTGCCATGCTAGGGAAAGGGCGATGGTGGTGGATGGTAGTGGCATGGACCATGGTGTGGATGGGTGGGTCCTTGCGCGCCTGCCCTCCTGCCCTGCCCTGCCCTACCCTACATTAGCCCAAGGCAACAAGGGCTCACCCTTACCATCTGGGCTTAGCCACCTCGACTCTTGCACTTTGCGAGTACGTAGACAGTTAGACACTCGACACTGGACAGTCATTCACTCATCCACTTACTGATCTCACTGCACACTGACCTCGCTCTCGCTCTGCCAGCAGCCCCCATCCCATCCCATCCCATCCCATCCCCATTCTCTTCGTCACCACAGTCGACTCCCCCTTCCTTACTACGCTATCCCCAATCAAGTAGGCGGTCAACAAACATCTACCACAACCACCGAGTCCACCATTTGGCATTCACTCATCCATTCATTCACTGCCCTCACCTCACCATACTCGTAGACCACTGCACGCACACTGCACACCGCACCCCCCTACACGGTACAAGTACATATGACAAACTGCAGCTCCCCCATGACGAACAGGCAAGACCGTCGGCGCGCGCTAGAGAAGAGACAATTCAAGACACTACACTATCGCATCCATCTATGCCCGGCATGCTTCATAGTCAGAAGACGCGCGACCGTATCGTCCTCTGATTGGCTGCGCCTCCATTCATGCCTTCAACCCACCACTATGGTACGTCCCAGTACGCGCTCCATCGGCCGACTCTTACCAGACTCCCTACTACTCATACTCGTAGTTACTATACTCAGTAACCACAAGAAACACAATGTCTAATCCTTATCCTAATCCCCATCATGCACTGCGACTATGCATCAATGATCTGCTTCCTGTTGGCTACTTGCCGCCGGTTTCCTTCTCAATGGAATCTTTGGTGGGTCCAAACAAAGGATCACCACCACGACAAGCAACGATTCCACCGTTCCTTGACTGACAAATGTTCATGCGAACGATGTAACAAACACTTGCGAAACGCACCGCGGATGGTGTGCAATAGTTAATTCGAACTCTATGACGCCACTGATGGTGATTCGACGATTCGACGACTGCGCCTTAGGATAGGCCAGGATTGCTATCGGTGGCTTTCAGGCAGCGCAGGCAGCACTATTATTGTACGAGGGGAGGGATCGTATGGGCACGGCCGCACGGGTATGGGTATGGCAGCCATGGTACGCTATGGGTATGGGCGGGCCATGATGGGGGACCAGGAAAAGGTGCACGGGAGATGTTCGCCGGGCACTACCGCTGAAACCACCCAGACATCGCCCAGATAGCCCACCACTCCCACCAAAGACACCCATTTCTTCCCGCTCTCCCTCCCCCTCTGCGCCTCAATGCCCCCCCTCCCCTCCCCTCCCCTCCCCTCCCCTCCAAGGGCCCCAGCACTCACTGGCTCTAGTTAGCCTGCGACCTCCTCTCAAGCTATTGCGACTTGACCGCTACACAAAAATGCACACTGCCACAACCGCTTCCAATGCCACTGTCATCCGGCCAATAATGACTTCATTTTCGAAAAGCCACAAGTGGCTGTTGCTACTAGTCGGCTCCCTACAGTCTCTGATTCGCACAGCGCCGGTTGCTTGCATGTGCAAAACCATTCCCCACTATGGTTCACGTCGGTGAGTGTAGTCTCAAAGAAACAATTCGATCAACAGGTGTTGTTGTTGAAGCCATCTACGTATATTCTCCGTCTGGACTCTGGACACATGGGCCTAGACGACTTCTGAGACGTACAGTTCCTGTAGTACAGTAATTGCACACAGGAAGAGGAGCACGCTGCCCAGCCCGCATTACGCCCTTCCTTTGTATCCAGGCCACGCTTCCCCAACAATCTGAGGGCGGCGTGGGGCCAAGATGTTTGCTTGCGCACCATCGACCGTCGACTCATCGACTCACAGTCTCTACAGATTGTACGAGCAGGCGTAGGGTTGGTCGCACTTGACCGACGCCTTTGTCATCCAACCCATGCATTCATTCTCCGGGGCCCGCACACACTTGCTTCCTGCAGAAAATTTGCAGACCTTGTGCGTACGGGACGATGCGGTCGCTACGTAGACTTTTGACCCAGTCTTACCTCCTCCTGTCTGACCGGAAAATGAAGGTCGCTCATTCGTCAGAATTCTTCCCGTAGATTCACTCTCATAGGCTACCTTCCAATGGGACATGCCCTCCGCCGCCAAACTGCATAGTTCGCGCACCCTGCCGAGCTGAAGACTATCTGGAGGAGTCAAAATTCAAAGATGGATCGAGCGGGCCAAGTCTCAACTCCGATCATCACGCAACGAAGGATCCGTCCGGATTGCTACAAACAAGCAGGCCACAGGGTTCGGGGAAATCCATTGTGCACATGCAACTCCCTCAATATCGATACGATGAACCCACCCGTATCGGCACTTGAGGAGCAAGTGAGTCAGTCAATGGATAATCTCCTCCTTCAGCGGAATCTGTATTGCTGCACACATTTCGCAGTATGACTCCAACCATAAACTATGCCACTTCTGCTCACCCGCATCCCCCCTCACAAAGACGTCGCCTCAGCGCGCGCCCCCGCTCCAGACCTACTGCGCAAGAGAGCAGACTACCACAGACTACCTTAGACTCCCCTAGACTTGCGATGTCATGAGACTTTGCCTACCTATGGGCTGTGCGCCTGTGCACCTCTAGTGAGGCTCTGCTAACGTCACTGTCACTCCAGCGCTCACTACGCTCCCTAAGCCCCGGATATCGGAACATTCCCCTCTACCTCGCAGCTGGACAAGTAGGACTAGAGATAGTCGAACTCCCAGTTCCTCTTGGCTAGACTCTCGTCTTGCTTGGACAGGAAGCCACATGCGTAGAATCTCAAGAACGTCTTCTCTGGGTGATATCCCCAAGTGCTCCGCCGAACCCTTGGACTTCTACCAATTCCGACTTGGCCACTCTACAACGATCAATAAAACGGATAATCAACGAAGAATCGCCACCTGGACCCAATACGTATTCTTGTCTTAGTTGCCTTGCGGTGATCGGAGGATAACCGGGATATTCTTTGTACCCCTTCGGCCTGCACCACCCATCTCCACGACGCTAACCGAAACGATATTGTTGCCTGTACTCAATTGCACCCTCTGTCACAGCATTGGCCTATCAAGAGGAGCCCAAATGGATCACAACACCTCTGACGGCCATATATCGCGAACTCCTTACGAATTGGATTGCTGGTTCCAGTCTTTTGGGTCGTTCGGATCAAAGCGACTGCGTACGTCGCCCGATTAGTCTTCTCTTTGAGGATGACGAGTCATGATTCTGGCCTTTCAGCCTGCAATAAGCATTCATATGCGTAAGTCGCCTAGTATTAGTCACCTCTCCCTAATCATCCATTTGGGTGTGCTTTCTATTTGGAAATAACTAGTTACGGTCGCCGGATGACTACTCTCGTTCTCTCATGTATTGCTGATTGACACGCGTCCGAACATTCACGATGATTATGGACAGTCATATCTAAATACAGTAGACCATACTTACACAATATTCTTAGGGCAGGCAAATGCCTATCATAAGAAAATTAGAAAGCGAACAAAGCGAGTTCAGTGTTTCTTACATTTCAAGATCTCAAGTTCTAGCAAATAACACATAGGGTCGCCAGTTGCGCGCAACTCCAAAATTGGATGATACTTTCTCCTCTTCCCTGATCTGGAAAATTCATTGAATAGAAATCATTATCCTGGTGCGATCTATTGCCAAGCTAGCGCCAGCATCGATCAATGGCGTCCTAGAAGACGTATGTCTGGTTGAAGCAAACGTGATATCCCCATCCATCCAAGACTGCGACGCGCACTCCCCTTATACAAACGCGATAAGGCTGCGTCAAAGGTTACGAACAAATCATCTCGACATAGTTGCTGCAAACGTTCACTGATATAATCGACGCGGCTGCTTACCTGCATTGATTTCATGCATCACGACCTCCACAGGTCAGATTCTGGGAGCATTCCAGCTCTTGGCAGCTTTGGTCAGCACCGGTTTTTGACGTCCACCACATCATCACAACCCCCAACGGTCAAATCGCAAGCTCCCAGCGTTCCCATTCACACTTTCACACGTGAGCGATCGCAGCACATGATCGCGCGTTCCCGCGCCTGTGATCAGCCGTTGCAGGCAAAATGGTTTAGATCGGTGTCAGGGCCAGGCACGAAAGCGATCCGTGCCCGAAATGCTTCCCCCCAGCTGTCATCTCCCACACCGCTGGTTTGGCATACCAAAAACCCAAGCAGCCCACCCCAGTCCTTCTTTTTCTTCTTTAATTTTTCTATTTCTCCAAAGAATTATCCTTCCATAATTTCAAGTCTCAATATCAATTCCTTCTCTTCGAAAAAAATCCAGTCGTCGCGTTGCAAATGCCCCCTCGTTCATTGCTTCTGAATGTGTCAATCACAGCCAAGGAGATCGACGATATCGGAAAACAGCAGGCTCTGGAATCCGTGAGAGAGATAGAAACCGATAACGGCGCCATCCAGCCTCGCGAGGGCTTAAAAGGGGGAAGGCAAGAAAGAATTGATTCCGCAGCTTCCAGTATGTTTAAAGTCTCGCGTCCAATTCAATTCCTTTGGTCCCGCTACATCCATCTATCTATCATCTATCTATCATCTATCTATTCCCCATCGCCACAGTCGAGTTACGCAGATAACTGATTTTTTTTCTTCACAGTCCAAGATTCGCCATTGTTACACAATGTCCACACATACGGCACCTCCATGCCTGTTCCCGCAACCATCGCGGCAGAGTACACCAACGTGACGACCATTTCTCACGAGGCTGCTCGACCCACACCCCATTCCCTGTACACTTCGCACTCCGAAGTCTGCTATCAAGACCAATACCGTAAGTCCATCACTCCTCGATCCCTCATTCTCGCATCAATCCCCCCTATCTTTCCCCAAAAAGCAGTCCCTTTCTTCGCCCACTCCCCCCAAAATCCACTGGAAACATTGTACTAACATACCCTCCCAGCAACGACCCCATCCACCTGCGGAACCTGCAACTTCGCAGACTCCCCCTCCTCATCCCCTGGCTCAACCACCTCCTCAACCTCATCGCTGTACCGCTGCTCCCGCTGCAAGAAGCAGCGCTACTGCTCCAAGAAGTGCCAGCGCGCCGACTGGCCGTCGCACAAGCAGCTCTGCACGCCGCCCGCCTACCTCGCGGGCGCGGAGATCGACAGGTCGAACACGCCTGCGCTGTCGCCCGGGCAGTTTTGAACTTAATTAGCTGGAGGTGGAGGTTTCGGGGGTGAGCGGAGAGGAAGAGGAGGATGAGAGTAGATCGACGAAAGTGAAGGAGAAGATTGTCTCGACGAGAGGATGAATGAGCAGAGAGCCCCATGCGGGACTGTGGAGGAACACTGTATATGCTACGCACGCACGCACTGTTGTACGCTGTCTTTGTCTACTTTGTACACGACCGAGGAAACCATCCAGACGGATCAGGGGGAAGGAAGTCAGGAAGACACACACATCCATCATTAACGATATCACGACCACACACACTTACATCAACACCCACCGCCACCCACATATTAGAACTCCCCCTTTCGATTATTTCCCACCCCCAACTTTAAACATATCTTAGCATTTTGGCGATGGCGTTCTTTTCCCACACACACATTTCGGCTCACAAAAAAGTATTAAAGCGATTTAAATTGTAGATTTTCTAGAGATAAACTATTGCCAACGAAGGCCAACGAAGGAAAGCATTCATTTGCTTAACGGATAGTTACGATACGGAGTACATAAAAATTGGATATCATGGTTTTGCATAAAAGTGTACGTGTTCGTTTTGGCTTCACCGCATATTGAGTTGGGAGTCTAAGGGGATGTTAGTGACGACTGTTGGAGCTTGGAGGGAGAAACACGTAGGTCGATTGTTCGTGGAGATTAGATAGGAGGTTTGTCGGTGAGGTGTATAGGTGTCTGTTAATGTTAACGTAGATGTGCGATGCTACTATGCAATTCATTCAACTTGCGCATCGCATTTATCGTTAAACCACAAATACAGAAACATTGAGTAAAGTAAACAAACAAACACCGCCAAAAACCTCCCACCTCCTCCCTCTCCAATCCTCAATCCCCAGAAACCACCCATACCATACATCAATTCCACGCGCCAACACGTCAAAAATCAAAACCCTCCCATCTAATCCCACGCCATCACCCCGTCCTTCCTCCTCTCCCATATCCATTGTCCCCTACAATCCTAATCCAGCGGTGAGCCCATCCACGCTAATCAACCACCAAGCAAGAAAAAACCGGGGTCCCGCTACCGACCCACCGGTAACGATTGGGAACTCCACTCCACTCCCATCCAACGCACGTCCCCCCTCTTGCCGCCAAGCCCTTTCGAAAATTCCATCGACGAAACGACGACGAACGTCGTGCGTAGCTACGTACATCGCTGTCCACGAGATCCACCACGCGAACGCACAACACACGAAGGAAGGAAAGAAGGATGGCGAAGAAAGGTACGTCCGCCTGCCTCCCCCCCCTCCTGTTTATCCAATTGAGGAATGGAAACGGGGGATGGGAGGAGAGGGGAGTCTATGGGTTGGGGGGGGGATTGAGAGCTGATGTGGAATTCGAACAGCCAAGTCGAGGACCCTGATGGTCCGGCTCATCTCCATGGCTATGACGGGGTACTACCGCACCGTCATGAGGCCGCGCGCGCACCGCCCGCTCAGCATGCTGAAATATGATCCCATCGGTACGACTTCCCCTGTTTTTCTTAGGTTTTGGTTTCTTCACGGGGAGGAGAGGGGAGCGGGTGGGAGTGGGGATGGACATCTACGGGGTTTCGGGGGTCCAGGGGAAGGAGGGGAAGATGGGCAGGCTGGGTTGATTGAGGGAGGAGTTGATGGGGAATTTTTGCTGACTTGGAGTTTGCAGTGCGGAAACAAGTGCTCTTCCTTGAGCAGAAGCGCGGAAAGAAATAGAGAAGGCACGGTTCGAGGTCGTGTTGGCGAAACATATTCGGACGAGACTTTGCGAGCGGACGAATGAAGGATGGATGGGGCGGATGGCATGATATGTTGAGACGAGGGTTTCATGGAAGGACGGGCGTACATGGTCCACGACGACGACTCGATGCCATTGCAAGCGAGGATACGGGAGACGTAAATGTCGGGATGGCATGGCGGCGGTGTTGGGTGGGATCTAAACCGTACGATCGGTATGATTCGAGATTTTGGGATGCATATACACGGATGTAAGAGGAAGGATGTGTATGATTATTGTACCATCAATGGCATGCAAAGCATGGAAAGGCGTTATCGCAACAACAAGAATAAAAGAAAAATTATATCCCCCCTTAAGAATCATCGACGATTGAAAGTGAACATGTACGTGCTGACGAGATTTTGACATCGTTTCGAACCCCCCGCGAACACACATCCTAGCTCGTCTGGTTTGGAGGAGATGCTAATGTGCCTGTGTTGGTCTGAATGGCTTGATCTTTATGATATGCTGGGTCGTGTTATATCCCTCACGCAAGCACTATGCGTCCTGACCTATGGGCAAGGACACGAATAGTTGAGATGCATGCCAGAACCAAAGCGAACATTGTAGCCCTCAAGAATGGCAAATGGGAGCTTTTCGAGGAGACTTCAATGGAGTCATGGAATCCAGATGGTGAAGTGCCTGCATTCATTTATCTGTGGTGGTTTTATTAACAACAGTGGACGAATATCGACAAGATTCATCCGCTACTGCTATTTCTTGCCGTTTAATTGAGAACTTCTTATTCTTATTTTCCTTTTTTATATCTTTTAGGCTAGGTGATGCTACAAATACAAACACATCCAATGTACAGGATCATTGCAACGCACAACAAATGACTTACGCAGATCTACTTTTACAGCACGGCGGAGCCCTCCAATCTTTCATAAATCCTACAAAACCCACACCCCCGAAGCCCCAACCCCTCAATCATCATCCTCATCATCAGTAACATCCCCGTCCCTCACCTCCTCCACCTCATTCTCAACATCAAACTCCGCCACTCCAGCAAGCGCAGGCACCGCATTCGCCGGCGGTGCCACCGCCTCCCCCGCCGTCTTCGCAACATCCTCAAACTTCTCGTTCCTCGCCTCTCCCAACCTCGCCGTGAACGGCCCAAAAAATCTATCATCGAAGTTCAACACCGCAGCGCCGGGGTCCGCTCGATCTCCCTGCGGCGCCTTGGGCGAGAATGCCCAGCCCATCACCGCGTTGCCCGTCGCGGGGTCCTGGCGGAAGCCGAGCGTGGAGTTGAGGCAATTTTCGCAGAGGAAGGTGTAGCTGAGTGCTGTTGCATTCGCGACGATGCCGTCGGGAAGGGGGCGGACGGCGAAGGTGCCGGAGACGGCGGGAGGATTGTCATCGTTGGTTGACTGGCGAAATGATGCTGCGACGCCGTCTTTGCCGTCGTTCCAGACGGCGAGGAGGAGGTTGCCGTCGTCGTCGCCTGTGAGGCCCATGGCGCCCCAGCCTTGGCCGTCGACGAGCGGGAAGTCGAGTTGGCCGATGAAGGAGCCGGCTGTTTCGGGGGTCAGGGGCGTGGTGGGGAGGGCCATGGAGAAGCCAAAGGAGGTGCTAGCGTCGAAGAAGCGCTCCATTTTCAGGCCGGTGGTTTGTTCGACGAAGGATTCGGTCATCTGGCGGGGGGAAGTGCTGGGGTTACCGTTGTTCTGGGCCGAGGAGAGATTGAAGAACAGTGCGGATGTGAGGATGCTTGTGGAGAGGAGCCGAGTGCTGAAGTTGCGACTCTGAGAAGAACTCCCCTTTGCTGGAAATAGGAAAGGCATATTGAAGATGTGGAAAAGGAAACGAAAGAATGGATACGAAATGAGAGGCTTATGAATCAAACGATTCAACACTTGTAATGAACGAATTGATGTAATGAGAAAGCGAATGCTGAAATAGTTTCAAAGGAATCGAATCTTCGATACTGCCACTACATATAACAAGCTTGAATTCACCCGAACGTGTTAGTCCCCGGACGTCCACAGCACTGCTGTATGGCCATGAATCTAAAAACAACTGCCAAGTCAAAGCCATGCTGATTTAGACTATCCCTTGTGCTTAATGCCATACTGCATCGCCGAGACGCACGACCGGCATGAATGATCCATCTTCGGAGCATATTGCGTACTTCCATTGGCAGTGACGAACCGCGGAGCGTTTGTCCACTCCCGTCGTATTACATACACGACTTTCTGGAGAAGAGTCCCGACCAATGACGATAATTCGAATTGAAAGTAGTTCCGGTCTGTTTCGCTTAGGTATGGATAATCTCCGAATAGCGGATTTCATCGTGTAAAGTTAAGTTAGATGCCCTAGCTGTACGGCATACATCGTGAATCAACCACTCCGATTTGAGACCATACAGCCACGCCCAAGCCAATGTATTTTTCAGCGATGCGCGGAAAGAACCCGATGAATTCTCAAGATGACCTCAAGCAACATATATTGGCTAGGGAAAGTCGGTCCGTTAAAGCTTGAGAGGCTACGGACACTCGATGAAACTACCAAGACCCCGACAGACGTACAAAGTCCACGAGTCCCACTTGAACACAATTCTGAACTTACGAGAAATGGAAGCGATCTCCACATAGAAGCCATATGGGGCTCTTTACTTCAGGCTCTGTCATGAGGTAGTAATCGATTGCGGAGTCTTAGGTTTTACTTGGCCCTCTGTTCGTTCATAGTCGAGATAGGTTTGGTCAAAAGGGTACCATGACGATAGAAACCTTCTGTCGAAACATGAGATACTTTACCGAAGAATTAAATCTGTCCATACTCGATACATGATTCAAGAGCATCATATTAGAAGTATCCGGGGTCGGTCACTCCCGTTCGTACGCGAAGCTGCACAGTCGATCCTCCATTCACGATCTGCGACTCGCCCGACACTAATCCATATGAGACGGTGCTATGCATACGACAGTCTATCCTTTCAAGATGTCAAAGATATCGAGGAACCTAATACGACGATTTACATCAGTCTTTCAAAAAAGCTTTAAACCACCAAATTCATAGACCATGACCTCCGTACGATAGGTTGACTTGACTTGTTCCACTACTTATCCAAAGAATTTTCCATAGTGATGCTTCATAAATCGTTATGTCAATATCGTAAGTATCCGGCGACGTCTAATGAACTCCAAATGTACAACACCCAACGCCTTGCTCTCCCCAAACAAAGAGCCATCAGAACGAACCTCCCAATGGAAACCATCCGATCTCATAACTATTCCAACCCTCCCTGCAATCCCATCACGCAAACCATGCCACTCACACCATCTCACCATCCCCATCCTCACTACTCCTAGCCTCTCCCTCCCCATCGATCAAAGCATCATATTCTCCCCTCGCCCCGTGCCTCCCCCCCGCCGCCAACCCGAACCGACAACTCGGACACGAATTACAAGCATACGCCGCACCAATCCCACCAGACGCAACCACCTCCTTGAGCTGCAGCACCACAAAGTACACATGAACCGCACTACCCTCAGACCATCAGCATCAACACTTTCAACCCCCGAACAGCAAAAAAGGGACATTCAACTCACAGATCAACCATCAAAA